CTACATTATAGGATACCGTATAAATTAAAAGACCATTTTTATTTAAATCGTGTCCTCTCCCATATAACAGCAATAAGCATTTATACTTATATGCCAACCCCGTACGAAGGACGGGTACTCTGCTAGTAACACAATAATAGAAATACAGTATACTAATACAATAATACTGTAGGTTTCCGTAGTCAGTGGCCATAGGTTCGTCTGAACTGTCAATCAATTCTGAGAAATTCACAGTTGTAAATTCTTACTAGTCTTTTTCTAAGTTCTCGTTGCACTCGCAATTAGTTCGGATATTTTATCTAGGAAAGCAGGTATGCCCTAAGTCATAGCATTTGTAGGTTAAGTATAATAATAACAAACATGCTTATCGTAGGTTTGTAGGCATCCTTGTTCAAGAATATGCCGTGGTAGGTTTTGTTTATAAATTTTATTTCTTAATTCTTGTCTAATGACGATATTGATTTGTATTTGTGCGAAAATGTTAATTTATTTGTCAAGGGCATGAGCGGCCCTCTAGTCTATGTATGTTACATGAAGCACAACATGAAAAAGAATAAATTAAAGGAAGGTAAAAAACGGATCAGTTGCTGAAGGTCTAAATCTCGGAAGGTCTGTCTAATCAGGCCTTCGACACACATTTTGCAGTTTGTATGTGGTTTGTACTTTATGCTGAGGATCCCATGAATCCTGTACAAAATAAAAAAAAATGTTTCATTCAAACTACAAGATTATTACTTTTCCGAGAACCAGCCTTTATCAGGACTTCCGCTCCCGCGCTAGTTGGCAACATCAACTGTGCTATATGAAAACAATAAATCTTGAGTAAATATACTGTAATGTTGAATTTTGAGGCTGTGGTGTTCCTTCGTAAACACATTCAATTATAATCGAGGAATATGTAAATTTATTGTTATAAGTTAACTTTATTGATATTCGATTTGCTACAGTACCTACTATTAAAACCTATAACATTTTCAATTCATGTGCGTTGTATTTTAAACAAAAGAACCCTGTGTACCACTTATTTATATGAAATTCTCATTGGTTGCAATTTAAATTAAATCAATTTAAATTTTTGGGTTTTTTTTGTTGCAATGGTGTAGCAAAACACAAACACAAAATTTATTGAAATAAAATTAAGTCAATGTTAAGTGAATACTATTAATAAACATATTTGCGACATAAGAACATTTAATTGAAGCCTAAAAAACAGTTCAAAAAAGGCATTCTATTCTTTATACTAGTAAAAATTAAAATGAGGGTATAAAAAATAGTTTTCAAAGATCATGTTGATCAATGTACATTCGTCTAGTCTTGAAAAAATAAGTAATTAAAAGCTTACTCCAAACATAATGAAGTTTATCGGTTGTTAACAAAATGTCATCATCATTTTTCAAACTATGTAAACCTTATAGTTTTCCAACTGTTGCCTTGTTTATTTTTTCTTTTAATGTTTTTTTTTTTTTACTTTATGATGTTTCAATTAATGGTACAAATATTCATAGTATATATATTTCTGAACAAGAACATATACCCATGTATATATAACTAATAAAGGTTCCATAAGCATTTTACACGAGAGAACACTGTTCGGCAAGTAGCCGGTCATCGTAACCGGTCATCATGAAGGAGCTTGGACGTCGTGCAACAGCGCTGAGCTATATTGGACGTCGTGCAACAGACAAATATTTATTGGACGTCGTGGCACTTGGACGTCGTGCAACTGGCAGCGACTTTGGACGTCGTGCAACACTCCCGCAAATGTAACTTTTTTACAATTCTATAGTGCGCTGTTTCACGACGTCCAAGTGTCACGACGTCCAAAGCTTGTAGAAAGACTATATTTTTGGTAGTTACTGTACTTTTGGACGTCGTGGCACTTGGACGTCGTGCAACAACTCAAAAATTATGTTTTGGACGTCGTGGCACTGAATAAATATTATTGGACGTCGTGACACTTGGACGTCGTGCAATGCATCCGGTCCGTGCGACACCCTGGTGGCTTATGGAGCCGCACAAACCAGAGCGAACCACGATACGCGATACCGAGACGAATGCGATACCGTAGCGATAGTATCGCGGTAATCAATCAATTTTTACGTGTTCGTGAAGTGGCAGAGCGACTATTGTAAATAGTTGCAGTCGTAAAACACGTTTTATTCACTGAAATATATAATTATCCATATAATAATGTATCTCCTTCGTAAGTGCATGAAATTTTTTTCATTTTTTGTCACTGAATTATTTTCTATTGCACCACTGGTGCTGAAGTTATCAGCTGTTATTTTTCGACTTTCTGAATACTTAGCCGAACTAACGAACCTCAATCTCTGTTGACCAATAACTAACAAATCGAGTTTTGCTGTGATTTTAATTTATCAGTTTGCATCGTTAATAAAAGTTGTAAATTTGTAAGTTTTTAGTTTAAATATTATTTATCGTGCCTTTACTGAAATGTGACATTCCTTTTAGAAACTTGAGACACTAATATTAGCCGGTTTTTGTAAACTGTTTACCAACAACGAATATTACGGGTTTGATTGTGACTTTTGACTTTATCAATTTGATTCATATTTATTAGTCGTAAATTTGTACATATTAAGTTTGTTATTATTTCTTGTGCATATACTTACTAAATTTGAGGTTTGGGACATTACGTTTAGCCCGTTTTTTAAACAGTTCCTCATAGCGAACAAACGTTGAAAAGTAATATACATGTTTGAGTAGAAAATGTTTTCTAGAAAAATACAAAGATTTATGAAATTCATGAAATGTTTATTTTAATGATAATTTTCCATGAACAACTCTTACTGTACCTCATTTTATCTCAAAATGTTATTGCCTTTACAAAAATATTATTTACTTTTACACATTTCATAAGAAGATATTTATTTGGGCTTTGTTTGAATTTTACAGCGCAAAATCGAGATATGCCATTTTTTTGTTTTTAGGTAATAACTTTCTAAAACAAAATGGTAATTTGAATCTTTTTACATTTATATTTAGGGAAATTCGTTCCAAACATTTTGTATATCTTCAATTTCACATAGGGAATTTTTTGGATCATGCAAAAGCTTAACTTAAATCAAAATAAAAAAAAAATTTTCTTTCAAATGTCAGTACAAAACTGTTCTGAATATTTATTCGGTTGCAAATTTTAAATTCTTTATGTTATTACGAACAGTTCAAGTATACGGTTCAATTGTTTTGCTCTGTTGGTTTAGTTCTTATGAATTTTCGAAAATATGTCTGCAAAATCGCCAAAAATGCCTTGCCTCTACAGAGTTTGCCCATTTAATTGTTGTACCAAGTTGCATAAAATGTTATGTGTAGCAGTTAGTTAGATCAGAGTCCTGTGGACAGTGACAGGTTGCGACGCTTCAGTGACTCATCTGCCTTCTGAGCCAAGTTTTGTAAAAGGCTAGTAGTGCAGTAGCCTCCCTTCGGCAGACCGGCGTTTGGGACAAAACATGTTAATTTCGTCCCCCGTTTTGGACGCTGTTTTCCAGCAGATTTTGTTGAAACTTTGTAACAATGTAGTTGAATAGTTATACTACGGCCCTTATACCTCAAAAAATTGAAAATTAAACAAAAAATAGTTTTATTGAACTTTAAAATTAACTGAATTTACGTTACTTTTAAGATTTTTTTGTACTTATACTATTGATTTTTTTATATATCGTGTATGAGAACCAACATTAATCTGTAAGGAAAAAAAGTTTTAGCAATATATCTTTACGTAATGTTCCACATACCATCAGGAGCGAGGGACGCCCGAGGCATGTTTTCAATGTTTTTCGCAGGGGTGAAGAAGACTCTTAAGGTTACTCAATTTATCATTGAATTATGAATAATACACCTTTTACTTTTTTGCAATTGCTAAGTATTTAAGGCATTATTTTAAAACGTATAACAGTCATAACTTCTGATGACTTTAAAAGATTTGACTCAAAAGATTATGGAAATGCTCAAGATGTACATAACAGATCGATATAACCAGCAACATTTCTTGTAAATATCTTATTGTTTTTCAAAAGCTGATCTTGTTTTTTAGTGTTTTCTAAAATAGCCTTACTCATAGCCGCATTAGGCTGTCCATTATAACGATTATAAATTCTAAAAAAAAAAAAATTATTTCTATTTCTTCTCCTTGGTGGTGTTCTATAGCTTTCCTATGTTTCCATAGTTTGGAAATCAGCTCTTTCAATAATTACTAAGAAATGCAGCACAGTGTTAATTCAGTTTTCTTTTTAGTACAAGTTTAAGCTATCAACTTATCCAGGCTCTCTCAATTTTTTCAAATATATTTACACCAACCCAAATTCAAATAGTAAATATTTCATTTCAACCAAGTCAGTAATTGTTTGTAGCAAACTGTTAAATTAGCAAACTTATTGACTGTTTACAATTTATATTCTTCTTCTCACTTTTAATTTCTAACAACAGCTGGAGTTTCATAACAATGTTTGTTTCCCATGTTAATCTTATGGAGAAATACAAAACTTTAAAGGACCCCAGGGCCTCACTCTCTAATTGATTCCCTAAAAAGAAAGTTTCCTGCACAACATCACGTTATGCTCTTTCCAATGACACCAAAAACATGTCAATCGGCTTTGTGGTTTCGGAGGAGTAATTGTCACAAAAAACTAGCTTGCATATTAGTTTTGTTTAAGGAAAAGGCTCTAGGCCAGGACTTTAAATTGTAGAAAAAGGAGGATAGCAGCTAGCTTACCTTGAAAGTGTGGGTAGGCCATAGAACAAGTAGAAAAAACACTGTGCACACAATATTTCGTCCCCTAAGGGACTTTGTCAAGTTAGTTGACAACAGCCATGACAGCAGCCATTTTGTAATTTATAAACTCTTTTCTCTACACTTGGCAAAGTCCCTTAGGGGACAAAACATTGTGTGCACAGTGTTTTTTCTTCTTGTTCTATGGCCTACCCACACTTTCAAGGTAAGCAAGCTGCTATCCTTCTTTTTCTACAATTGCTTGCGTATTAAATAAGTATAGATATGAGTGTCGTTTCTATGTAGCTTCTATTTTAGTTTCTATGTAGTTATTTGAATAGTTATAAACACATTTGTTACAAAGGTAGTACTTCTTAATAACACAATTAACATAGAATTGCATCTAAAAACTAATAAATAAAGAAACATATAATTTTAAAATATCACATACCATAACACGACGATTTTATTCTGTCACATTCAGATTTTACAACAAATTGAGCATTCAAATAACATAGCAAATGTTAATAATGGTTTGCCTTCCCTTTCTCCTGTCTACATTATTTATAATGAATATTTGCTAGCAGGTACTTTTAATCAGTTAGTTTTCAGAATTGTTCAATATGATTAGTTCTCCAAGGTTAGTAAAAACAAGCATTCATAATGTAATGATAACACATGAACAAGATACATGATCAGAGAGATTTTTCTCAAGTTACTTAAACAATCTCTCTCAAATTATCAACAGACATGGAGATACTGAGAGCAAGACCAGTATTCTTGCTCAGTTTGAGAGGTGATTGTTCATCTTGCATTCTCGCCCTTGAACCTCGCTCCAGTTTGTCAAAGTAAATGTCAAGAGCGTGGAGAGTGTAACTCGCCGGTGACCAAGTGGAGCGTGTTCGAACCTGATACATACAAACACAATGTTAATCAGTATCCGTCAATAAATTGTACAGTAGACTCCTTCTAAACCGACCTCGCATTAACCGATAATCAGATTATCCACCCTCGCTTGTAAAACATTACATTTTGTTTTGAGAGCTGTTCGGCATACCTAACGTCCAATTTTAATGAAATTCTGTATGAGTACTAATACTTATCCATAGTATATCTCCTTGGATATAGGGCTACTATTTAATTCCTTTGAAATTTTTATTTTTAATAATGATTTACCCATAAAATAACAGATAGTGGTAAAAAAACAGCTTGTATGATTTTGATTAAAATTTGGTATAGTACTTTTAACTTTGAACCAAGTGGTTTGAAGTCCACATGCTGTAAATAAAAATGTATTGCAATTTTTATGATTTTCACACTAAAAACCCCTTAGTTATTCCCACATATACCACCCACTATACCCACTATTACTACCCATTATAATAGTACAATAGACCCCCTTTAAGCCGACCATAATGGGACCGGACCAAGGTCGGTTAAAACGGGCAATCACTAAGAACTTTTAAAAATGAAGTGCTATTAATTTGGAATTATATAATCACTGTTCTGAAGCCGTGCATGCATTATTTACCACATAAACTACACTAATCTCCTTTTTTTCTTAAGTATTGACAATATAAAAATCATAAATAAACCCAAACACAGTAAAGCCAAATACAATAATTTATTTACCTATTTTGCTTGAAGGTCTTGTAGTTTGTAGGTTGAACTGGGTTCAAACAACATATTAAAGTCAAATACTTTCAGTGGAATAAATTAGGGTACTGTATAGTCGTAGGCATGAGACAATAACATTTTTATTTTAATATCTTTAGTTGGTACTTTCCAAATCCATCGTAATACAGTACAGAACTTATTGTCGGAATTAAAGATACAAGCAACTATTTGGTTACGAGACAGGATGTTTATTTATAACCTGAGCCGAGCGTAAGAGCAGAAATGTCGAGATTCCCAAAAAGCGGAGGTTAAACCGAACTTCCCTCAAAACAGGGTCGGTTAAAACAAACTTTAATTTTTTATGAGTGAGCAGGGCCGATAATCTGATTATTGGTTAATGCGAGGTCGGTTAAGAGAGGGTCTACTGTACTCTGTAGGTAAACTCAATTCAAGTAAAACTCATTACAGTACCGTATGATATATAAATTGTACCTAGGGCCGAAAACCATTTTTGGTCCATTGTAGGAACGCTGTTTTTCAATTTTCACCACACTACTACTATTCACAATCAATGTTGCCACCCTGGACCTGTGAAAATTCCCCATCTGACTAAGAAAAAATCCCCATTTTATCCCCAGCTAAAGCAAAAATCCTCCAATAATCCGCCAAGTCATAAAAATCTATAGAAAGTCCCCAATTTTCCTCCATCCATCCTAATAATCCTACAAAAATCCCATTTAACTACTAAATATCCCAAATTTATACCTTATATCTATATGCCATAGTGTGTGGGTAAAAATTCACTCTCCGTGAATATATTACACTATGACATACATACATTATTTATTCACTCCATATTAAATGTGCTGACAAGGAAAAATCCCCACTTTATCCCCAGGACCCCCAGCTAAAGCAAAAATCCTCCAACTATCCGCCAAGCCATAAAAATCTATAGAAAATCCCCAACTCCTCCTCCATCCAAACCGTCAAACTCTACAAAAATCCCCTTTTAACTACCGGCGGTAACATGGTACCAATGATTATAATTATTATTTTAACGTACATACATTTATTCACTCCATATGAAATGTAGTAAGTACTACAGTACTATATAAAAGTAGGTACAAAGGATTGGGACTGATTTTCAGATTTACTTCTTAAATGATTTCCCCTCACTTAAAGGTTGTTCTATTAATCACTGACTTTCATCTACTCCTCATTCTTAGTTTTATATCATACATTTATAATAGTCTTACAAAATGAGTCATGTTTTATATTCCCACTAAATGTCTGAACAATTGATAACAAACTGTTTGCATAATCTATTCTGTTATTCCACGGTTTTATTTGTCTGAAATCCTTTTTAGCTATATTAACCTTATTCCTGACTCAAAATCACAATTCTCCAATAAATTCGATAACATCCCAATAATCCTCCAAAAATCCTCCATCAGACACAATCCACCAAAAAAATCCCCATGGCTTCGAAAAATCCCCAAAAGTGGCAACACTGTTCACAATAATAATTAATGCACACTGATAGTCAAACTTTAAGGTTATGTGAAAAAGTAATTTCAGGAATCAGCAAAAATAATAATAAACAGTTGCTAGGCAACGGTGAAAATAAAAGGATCTGACTTAGGGGAGGTACGATTGAGGCATTTAGTTCAAAATTCCTCCGTGAACAGCGCTGTAGTAGAGAGCATTTTGGGAATGAAGGTTTAAAATTATAAATGCCTAAAATTCAATTTTATAATTTTTTTTATTAAAAAATTACTATCATAACCTAACCGAACTAACCAAACTTGCTGACAATAATATAATATGAAAAAGTTTATTAATAGAAAAAATAATTCTGTTCATTAAATAAAACTAGAAATTATTGGTCAATTAAAATTTTATAATGACTTAATGATAAAATTAAACTTTCATAACCGAACCAAACCAACCAAACTTGCTGATAATGAAAAAATCTTAGTCAAAAAGTTAGTACCACTAGCGGGATTCGAACCCGGGACTCTCAGCACATCAGCCCGGCACGCTAACCACTAGACCACCGAGGCCGATGGTTGCAAACCGTATTGTTACGGTAATGGTGTTCCCTCAGCTAATGAGAAGCCCACAGATGTCATCGTAAGATCATCTATACCTCCCCTGAGTAAATACCAAAATGAAACAATTCTATTATTGCAATGCTATGGATACTGTTCGTGTATTTATTTAATACGAGAGCACGCCCCGTGGTCGAAAAATCGACCAAAAGTATGTTTTGTACAACCTTCTCTATTTTCACCCCACACTGTAAATAAAACATGTGATTGGAATGTCTTCCATTTGTTTTGATTTTCTGTTTATATTGTGTTGTTATTTCGTCATCACCATAGCAACCCATAATACCCATGTTAATTTTTTTAAATTTCAAATTCATTTTTTGTGCTTATTTTTGAGCCTATTTTAATTTATAAAGGGATTCTGCACACCTACAGGAAAATAGCTTTCTAACGGTATGCGTAGATTTTTCCTACGATACACGCGAGCTGAGAAAAAAGGTTTTAAAGAAACATGCTTGCCTATTAATATATAGATAGAAGATGCAAGCGGGCAGCTGACTTTGAGGCAAAAACCTGCTCGGTCCCCAAATGACGAGGACAGCCGGCATGGCCAGCAAAACGTAACTTTCAGCCTCTAATTAACGTATGTAAAACACATATGTAACATCATAGTGTGGTGAAAACACCATATAAATGGCATTTTGGTTGTACCTTATTCATGAGGACTTATTAAACTGGTTAATATTTTAAAATACTAAATCACAACCACTTTTCAGAAGAATATGATGGTAAGTTTTCTGTCATGCTATTGCCCAAGTAGCAAAAATCGTTGGCAAATCGTTGGCCCAACGTTTCTGTCGATCGTTGGCCAACGGTATGTTTTGGCACTCAGTCTTACGGTTGGCCAACCAACCAATTTTTGCGGAAGGGCCAACCATCCCATTGGGCATAAACATAAAAAACACAAAATAATAACAATTTTGTATGCAAAGCATAATTATGAGTTGAGTAAATTGATTAAATAGTTAATAAAAACTTATTTTCAAAATAAAACGAAATAAATTTTTTTTGGCCGGGACGGGTCTCGAAACCAGTACCTCCGACATGTGAGCCTCATGCCTTGCCTCTGAGCTAACTGTGCTTGTTGAATAAGGGCGTTTTCAAGTGGTCAAAGAGTAGCCGACAGGTGCAATGGTCACAATTAATACTTTAAATATTTTTGATGCTAGCCCATGTAGCACAGATGGTTGGGCCAACGTTGGTAAATTGTGGAGCCACACAGTTGGCCAACGGTAGAAATGTCACCTCTTTAAACTGTTTTCCAGCCAACCATTGTCCAACCGTTTTATTTCACACAAAATAATAAAGATTTAGTACGAAAAGCATAATTATTAGTTGAGTAAATTGATTAAATAGTTCATAAAAACAAATTTTGAAAAAAAACTAGAACAAAATTTGTTTGGCCCAGACGGGTCTCGAACCCGGGTCCTTCGACTTATGAGCCTCTTACTTTACCACTGAGCTATCTGTGATTGCTGATATAGAGAGTTTTCAAGTGGTGAAAGAGTAGCCGACAGTTGCAATGGTCGCAATACTTCAAACATTTTTGATACTACACAGTATAATATGATTCTGTTAATCTGTTAAGGCATCATAAGTAGTTTTTTTTTTGAGTTAGAGAGGATACTGGTATTTGAATGATTAATTAATTACCATTAGATTGTTAATGCTATTATAATTGCCTGTTATATGATTAATTACTCTTTCCCCTTAAATTGTTGCAAATAAGTTAAAGAATATTAATTTTAAAAATATTTGCATTATTAAAATTATTAAAATTCATTGTTGTAGCGCCGGAACTGTAATATATAAAATATCTAGTTTTACAATACCTTTATCAGTTCCAAAAACTTTTGGAAACTTTTGGAACTGATAAAGGTATTGTAAAACCAGATATTTTATTATAATTATGTTGTGAAAGCTAGACCCAGAGAATGAAAGTCGTGTAAACTCAACTATGGACCATTGTTGGTCCAACAAAAGTATCTTTTGTTGGTCCAACGGAGTGAAAAACGGTTGGACAACGGTTGGCTTGATGCATGATACCCAGCAATGCATATTAATGTATTTCATTAACAATGAACCAATGTTGGTCCACAGTTGTAAATATTGGTTGGCCCAACTACGAGATATACAGTTGGACAACGGTTGGTTGGTTGTGGAAGCTCCAACCAACCATCGACCAACTGTCCCACAGTTGGCCAACGTTGGCCCAACCATCTGTGCTACATGGGAGAGTATAATATGATTCTGTTAATCTGTTTAGGCCTCAAGTAGTTGAATTATTTTTCTGGTAGTTGGAGAGGATACTGGTATTTGAATATAGATTATATAATTAACATTAGATTAGCAGGCTACTGTTATACTGTAATTGATTGTTATATAATTAATTAATTTTTTTCTCTATAACATTAAAAACTTGCTTAAAGAATATTTAAAAAAAATTAATTATAATTATTATTATACTGTATCTAGTATCACAACATCATCTGACTACATTCATTATTGATCCAAATTTTTACAATATTTGTCTTATATTCTGCTGCCATAAAATTTATTTACTTTTAAATAAATCAATTTGTTAAAATTTGTTTTAGAATGTTTTATACTGTACTTAAACCCAACGAATGCCCAACGAAGGCCTAACGATTCTTTCCTTTGTAGGGCCAACGAATACCAGTTTCCGTTGGGCCAACGTTGGCAAATCGTTAAAATTTCTGCCAACCATTTTCCAACCGTGCCGACCATTTCCCAACGTTGGGCCAACGATGTGTGCTACTTGGGTGGCTAAAATAATATTTTCAAAGGTAACAGTGCCTAGTTAAGTTTGCCTCCAGACCTGAGGGTCCGCTGAGACTGGTCGATGACAGTTACAGGCTCCTTCACAGGAACATTCCGTCTCAGGGTATAGTCTCGTCAGAGTGTCTATGTCCAAAGAGAATCCTTTTCTTTTGCGAGGTGTACGATGCAGACGGCGCTTGAAAATCAACGACTCATCAATTGTGCTTACAGCAACATTCTGTCAATCACAACACAAGTAATAAAAAATAGGCTATTAGAAAATTACTCATTTTATAAAAAATAAATGCAATTACAAGTTAACAAGTTTTGTTGATTAAATAATCCCTTTAAGAGTCTTCAACACCCTCCATTTTGGGGATATGACCTTGGGGGAATGTGTTGTGGACGGGCGGGTAGCGCTGGGTCATTATGCGCGCCATTCTGAAAACATTTTAAGCACACGACTACTAAATCGACACGTCGGTGATTCATCTGCCGCCTGAGCCAAGTTTTGTAAAAGGCTAGTAGCGAAGTAGCCTCCGACAAAATATGTAAATTTCGTCCCCCATTTTGGAGGCCGTTTTCAACAGCTTTTCTTGAAATTTGGTATCAATGTAGTTGAATAGTTGTATTAGAACTCTTATACTTCAAAAGGTTGAAAATAAAAAAAATAATTTGTTTTATCAGTTTCTACAAGTGACTCAATTTACGTTACTTTAAGATTTTTTTGTACTTATATCATTGATTTTCTTGGATATATATGAGGGCCCTAGAACCAACATTAATATGTAATGGAAAAAAAGTTTTAACATTATATCTTCACACATTCCACCCGGAGCGAGGGACGTTCAAGGCATGTTTTTATTGTTTTCGCAGAGGTGAAGAAGACTCTTAATAACCTCCACTGCATTTGAAAGGTGAATGCAAGCTGTTTGCTCAGAAACCCGGCTACTGAATTGACGGATCATTTTAAAAGATAATACGTACAGAGGTTGCCAGTAATATTCAAAGAGAATTAGACTTTATTTAGACTTTTGAGCGTGTGTGTGTATGGATATGTGTCAACAATGTTTTTAAAAAGACACAGATTTTGACCTTGCACTATCCTTTGCACACCCCATTCTCACCCCTCTTAGATCACAAAGCAAAGGTGAAGATGATTCTTAAACTGTCAAATGATCTTTTAGGCATTTTTATAAATGATCCTGGCTAATCTAGTCTTAATTTGGTTACAATTGTGATAAAAAAAAAAACATTTCACCCATCCTGAAAACCCAACCACTTTGTGAAGTTTGGTAAAAAATCTGCTTCTTTAACATTAAACTGGTAAGATGTGCTCCAATAAATTGTGCTTTAAATGTTATAGTTTTTTTATTTACCAATCCCCACTTAAGGCTGTGCTTCTAATAATGTGAGCATTTTATTTATTTTTTTATTTTGATGTTATATTTTTAGTTAGACCTTTAGAAAAATTGAAGGTCAAATGTCGGATTTTTAGCCATAAAGGTACACACAAATCTCAAAAACGGAAAATGCAAAAATTATTAAAAAATATATTTTATACTGTACAACAAAAAACTTGACATAATTTTCAAAAATTAAATACAACATTTTTTTTACCCACAATTGAAAGATATTTTTACATGGAAATCCCTAACTTATCATTTTGAAAAATACCTTAAAATGTAGGGGCTTTTATGTTTTAACCGTTCAGCATATTATTTGTATGTATCCGTTTATTATAAGGCCATGGTGTATGTACTTTTGAAGCGATGTAAAACGGTCGGAAACACCGGCGCGCACACTAGAACGGCTTTATAGACGCCCGCACTCGCACGCGCTGGCCTCTCCCCCCGCGCTATCGATCGGCAACACCTCCTTTCCTATATACGAACCTTGCGCTCCTCTTTTCACTGACACCATGTGGTCGTACTGACACTGTCAGTGTATGGTTATGTGATCTGTTTACGTCTTTAAATTTTAATTAATTTTTTTATTGTTTTTATTGTTATTGTTTTTACTTTTCTTTGTTTACACTAATTTATTTAGCAATTTGACACAGTGAAATTGATATAAAGGATAGGTGTGGACGATTCGTTTAATGATGTTAGGACACCAAAATTACGTGCACCGTGAAAAACAATAGATAAAAATAAATTATTAAAAATTCGCAAAATATCACAAATTAATCATGCAATAAAAAAAAACATAACTGTAAACAATCCTGCTTTGACTGTTTTCATTGCGTATCACAGTTTTTTGTTGCTGCTTAGTTCAAACATAATTAGCTGTTTTCATAAATGCAAAAAAAAAAAAATAGTCCTGCACCATGTTGGTAAATCTTATAACTTTTTAATGCTTTTGCATATCATTGGACCAACTTTTTTAGTTGAAACAGCTGACTAAATTCTTTAATTCCCTTTAAATATGATTACACATACATCTATCTATACTAATGTACAATTGTGGTGTCTGTCTGTCTGTCATCTGGGTGCTGGCTGTCATGACTAAAATACAAAACCGATACAGCCAAAATTAAGCACAAAGATGTTCCACATATCTAGGAATTTCTTAGGCATATTCACATCCCTGAGTTCCTCTCGGGCTACGCCCCTTGGCTTAGGCGACCAAAATTTTGGGGCGAGGTTATCAAAAGTAAATATTGATTAGTCTCCATGTAAACATCAGGAAAAACACAATTATTTTTTCCTATAGTCACCTGACAAAGTGCTCTTTCTTGCACTGATTATAGCACAGAAAGTTGCTAATTATTGCTACATCTACTTACTTTTTCCGCACCCTTTTTACTTTTGCTGCACAGTTTTTTTCTTGCTTCACACCAGTAGGACCATCTTTAAATGATCCAAAATTGTTTGATCCTCCGTTTATATTACCGATCGTTTGATCCAAACTCGTTTCATCCACCAGCTATAAAGCCGTTCGTTTGATCCAAAACCGTTTGATCCAAAAGTACAGTCACTAATAACCAGAAGTACAATTTTGCATTGTAGAGTAAACTTATAAAATAGACTGTACTTTGTAAACTATGAACACTTAAAATACTATCATTGACTATGAATCCTTGGATTCATAGTTAATGATACTATGAAATGTTTGGATCATTCGACCGGGTCGTTTGATCCAATACTGTAATGTGAGTTGTGAGTTCGTTTGATCCACCAGTAGTCCCTCAGATTGAAGGCGTTCAAATATTTGCCGCCGTCAACCGTGTTCCTAGCTACGATATAGATTTTCTTAATATTAGAAAACAGGGAACTTTTTTACACTTTTTAATTCATAATGAAACAAAAATACAAGTTTTGCTTTAATCATGACCTTCTATGTTTTAAACGTTAAAGACATCATGTTTTGTAGTCTTCAAACCACTAAAGCGTACATAAGCAGACCTAATTAAAGCTCAATAGTGTAGCATATGGTTGAAAATCTTATAAATGGCACAGTTTTTATCACATTTGCCCACCTTCTTATTTAAACATTTTTGCCACCAAGACTGATATTCGAATATATAATAGGTTACGTACCTTGGTCCGTCATCAGTCTTGTTTTAGTCTATGGATGACTAGTTTCGGGTACAAAGACCCACTATCAAATCCTTTAAAACATCGTGTAGAAGATGGTCAAAAATCCGATGGAAGTCTTCATCACTATATAAATACAGGTCAACACATATAGTTTATTATTTAAATACCCCCGCCGCAGCAAACCTGCAGACTTAGCAAATTTCCATTTGCCTGATTGGATTTACACTAAAATGTCTCCTTAAAAATATCACATTTGTTCCCTATTTAAACAGAATTAGTTTAACGAGTACTTAGGTTTGCTGCAACAGGCAGGGTAAAAAAGTTTTTTAAAATGTAAAATGTTAAAAGGTACTGTAGTTTAGTAAGAAATTAATTTATTTTCCAAATTTTATCAAAATATGTTCATAAACAAGCAAACTACAACAGTTGACTTATTCTCCATAAGAATAACATGGAAATTTTAAAATGAAAATTTTTTTGAATTTTATCCGTAGCAATTAGGCGCATAATAACGCTTCAATATACTAAATTAATTGTTTTTTTAAGCTCTACAAAATGGTTTAGAAAGAAATTGTGAAATTTTGTGTTTTTAGGGTCAAAAATGGGAAAAACCTCTTTTTACCCCATAAAACCCCCCATAAGCCCCCATTCCCATAGTCCGATCATGCTGGTTCGCGAACTCATTCAAGTTTATCCTGCCTTACACCTTCAAACCAAATTTTATCAAAATCGGACAAAAATCACTCAAGTTATTGTGCGGATGGACACAAATATATATATATATATAAATTTGAACGAATGGTGTTTTTGGCCTCTGGGGACATCAAAATGAAAAAGTAAATCGGTCCCGGGCCTAGGTCTTACCATGAGACCTACGTTAATAGCTACTTCCCTATAGGGAAATTCGCTAAAAACATTGAGTTCTGTCGTGTCCGCCATGTAACCTGCGTCGGTTTATCCCGTGTTAAATATCAAATATGGCCGGCCTATCGTCCTAAATGTTTCGTAATTTGTGTTTTTAACTAATAAACTATATGTGTTGACCTGTATTTGTATAATGATGAAGACTTCCGTCGGATTTTTGACCAAAGTTTTTTAAATGTTTATCAAACACCTTAATTTTTATCTTTGAATCCATTTACAATGGAGTTTTTACTATTGATCCTCCATAGTTTTCTATAATTCTTATTCAAAATTTAATGTAGAACACGAAAATTACATTACTTACTGATATTATTTTACAGGTGTTACATATGTGTTATTTACATTTTATTTATAACATGGTTCAAATTATTATTTTGTTTACTTGTTGAATTGTTTGTTTACTTACAGATTGTGATTTAATAAATACTAACTTTCTATTTTCTTATACAAAATGTGAACTTTTATTAGTAAAATTAGTGGAATCAACAATGGCGACGAGTAAAATGGTAAGTAGAAAAGAATTTGACCTATGTCCAAAGGAAAGGAAACTACTAGAACTACGCTTAAACAAACTCAAGGGTGATTTACCTATATGTGAACATTCTCAAGATACATGCACTTACTACTCAGATAAACTTTTAGCAATATGGACTGAAATTGAAGTTATGCAGTCAAATATTGAACTTCTCACAGATTCAGTAGAATGTGAATTAGAAATTCGATGGCAGTTAGAAGAAATATATAGAGAGATACGAATATTCCTTGAAGCAGAAAAGAAAAAGTACATTACACATGCAGCAATGTCTAATCTGCAACATCTCAAAATGTATCTAATATTCCTTTCCAGCCGTATACACCAGAGGAAAGTTTTCAAAACTTCACTCGACGCTTTAAAAACTACACAAAATTACGGGGAAACTGAAGTCCAAAAGTCAAAGTGGATTTATTTGTACAGGCAATCACCCCACAAATACATCAACAGCTATATGATCTTTGCATACCAGATGACCCACATAACAAGCCATATGAGGAATTGATTCACATGTTAATAGCTCAACTAGAACCAAGACCCAGTATTTGGGCTCGTCAGCACAAAGTTATGACACGTATCCAATTATGTAATGAATCTGTACAAGCTTATGCTAATGCTCCTAGAAAGCTCAGTGTAGAATGTCAGTTTACTTGTACAAGTTGTAATGAATCCGTGTCTGAAATTCTACTTCGAATGCAGTTTGTCAGGGGACTAAAAGACTCTGATATACGTCTTCAACTTCTTCAAGATAAACTATTACAACCGTTTAAAGAAGTAGTCGAAAAGGCTGCTACATTGGAACTACCTAAAAGTGAGAGCAGATTACTAAAGACGAATGAAAATCAAGAGGAAGTACACCAAGTATCGAGCAAGAACAAACAACCAGATAGTAAGTCAAGTAAACAATTGTCTGAGTATCAATCTCGTTTGGAGAAACTGAGGAACAAATGCTATAGATGTGGTGATGATTCACATAGAGCACATCAATGTAAGTTCAAAAATGCAGAATGCAACTCTTGTAAACTTTTTGGTCACTTAGTAAGAGTATGTCTAAGAAAACCAAACAAAGAAGTAAAACAATCTGATGAAACCGCAGAAAATGCAAGCGATGACACTCATGAAATTTATCAACTTAATTCAAAATCAAATGACAAGTTTATGCTCGAGGTAAAAGTGGAAGGACGACTCATGACAATGGAATTAGATACAGTAGCAGCTCTTAACATTGTATCATATGATACATTTAGGCTTTTAAACTCTCCAAAAAGGATTTTCAAGACAAATGTTCAACTCAAGACATACACTGGGGAAATAATCAATCCAAGAGGAGTTGTTTTTGTAAATGTTCAGTATAAAGATCAAAGTTTTGTTGGAAAACTGTACATTGTTACAGGCCGGACCAAAGTTCTAGGCGTCTGGCGGACGCATGCGCATTAATTTGCTGTGTTAATTCCCCATCTGTCAAAACTTGGGCTAACATATGATTAAATGCAAATTCGTTATTACGCATGCGTCAGCGAGACGCCTAGAACTATGGTCCGGCCTGTAACAAGTGTGTAGACTCTATATTCGGAAGAGAATGGATGAGGGAGATTCAACTTGATGCAGCTGACATACATTCATTGAATTCATGGATATTCAACTATGCTCACTTTCTCTCCGGGTTTGACTATGACATGACATAGGACATTGAGTACAGGCAAACCGCTCATCATTGCAATGCAGATTATCTTTCACATTTCCCTATCAAAGTTGTTCAAGAACATTCTGTAGATGATCTCTCGAAGTACCACATAAATCAACTGGAAACACTCAATATCAACAGTACCGTGGTGGCTAAGGAAACTCTTAACGATGCTGTTTTGGGTCCAGTCATACAGGCCTTAAAATCGGGACAATCTGTTGAACAATACGGATTTCACGATAACGAGCTGTCCATTCAAGATGATTGTGTACTGAAGGGCTGGAGAGTCATGATACCTCAATCTCTCAGACCTCGTGTGCTTCCAGAACTACACGTAGCTCATTTAGGAGGAATAAAAATGAAGGCTTTAGCTCACAGTTTTTGCTGGTGGAAATGTATAGACAAGGATATTGAAGAGATGGTAGCTGAATTTCGACAATGCATTGAAAAATGCAACAACCCGAGAAAAACTATCTATCCATGGGAACAGCCTTCTAATCCATGGGAGAGGGTGCACATTGGTTTCTTAGGACCAACAGATGGCCAACAGTACCTGATATTAGTGTATGCCTTTAGTAAGTGGGTGGAGGTGATAGAGACAAAAACAACTACAAGTACATGGACAGTCCTAGAATTACGGAAAATCTTCTCAACTTTTGGGTTTCCTCACATCTAGTTTCAGATAATGGAAGACAGTTTGTTTCTCAAGAGTTCAAAATCTTCATGAATGAATGTGGGATTATTCACAGAACAACGGCACCATACCATCCAAACTCAAACGGCCAGGCTGAAAGATACGTACAGACTGTCAAGAAGGCGTCAAAATCCATGGAGGGAGAAAAGGACACTGCAAAATAAAATACAAAGACTCTTAATGCAACTCAGGCAATCTCCGAATTCAACTGGTACATCAGCATACCACTTAATGTTTGGAAGGAGTGTACGAACAAACCTTGCAATAATTGTTCCAACATTAGAACCGAACAAATATCAGAAGAAGGGAGTCCAAGTCGGTATAAAAAGGAATTTCAAAGTTGGAGATAAAGTGCAAGCGCGGGAATATGTCAATGATTCGTCCAAGTGGTGAACTTTTATTAGTAAAATTAGTGGAATCAACAACAGGTAATTGAGAAATTTCTGTATTACGTTTTAAAACATGGTTATTATTGAAAAACTAAAAATAATCCTTTGGGAAGCCAATGTTTAGACTTGGAACCTCTTAAGCAGTGACTACACTCGCCCGATTCGGTCCGGTTCGGTCCAGTCCTCAAAAATGCGGAACAATGTTTCCCATGTTTTTAAATGGAGGCGGCTACACTTGTCCGCTCCACTCAGAACCGATTCGGTTGGGAACAATCCTCCAGGGAGCATTCTTCCGCATTTTGGCGGAAGCATTCGGGGCGGATCGGACAAGTGTAGCTACCTACTTCCGAAATTCGGATGAGGATAGGGGGTTCCGTGAGCAAAGTAGGTAAAATGAAAACTACTGCAAACTGCAAAACGTGCTAACCATGTATTTTTTTTTAAATAAAATTACACAGCTAAATATATATGTCAAAGGAAAGGCAATTTTGGAGAAAAACGGCCTTGACCAAAATAGATTGTATTATGTATTTTAAAATATGAACATATTCATTGTTATGAAATCATTTCCAAGGTAGTTGGGAAAGTGATATATTATATGAAAAAAAGTTATTTTAAGGATATAGGCCTAAGCATTAAATAAATTAAAAACATAAGAAAGATCACTGGGTCAGTTTAACTCCACCATAGCAGTTGTAAAGTAACGACAACCATACTGGTTGTGTTGAAACTGCTTGTATAAACTTTGTTTTTAAGGTAGATGTTTTTGACTTTCACTATGGATGGGAGATTAAAAAAACTACTTTTAGTGTAATCATCATCTTATGCTTTACATTACATGTACATCTCTTCGTGTAGGCATACGAGGAGGATTTCTTCGTCGGAACTAGAGCTCGCACAATATAGAATATCGTACAAGTGTAGCCAACTCTCCCGGTCGGACCGAAACGAATCGTACAAATGTAGCAACCCGCCACCCCTCACAAATTCGGGGCGGACCGGACTGAATCGGACAAGTGTAACTGATAAAGTGTAACATATACCCTTCCTCGTCCTTACCTCACCTACATGCGCTAAAAAGGTTGTTTTCTATGCAGCCCACCTATAGTACGCAACAACGGCTTTTTAAAATGCTCCAAAAACACTGCTTTAAATTTCTTGTCTACTTACTGAGTTGTTGATTGTTGGAGGGATGGAGTTGTCATAGTTGTTACTTTCATATAAGTTACAGTCAATACTTATAAGACTGTGTTCATCCACATGAGCCTGAGAGGGCTCAGCTTCAATGGTCAGTATCGTGGAAGGCGTAACATTGCTGTGTCCAGTGTTGGAGAATGCTCTTAGAGTTTGCTCTTCCCAGTTCAAAACTTCTACAGTTTCATCTAGAATCAGATACAATTACAGTAATTGGAAACCATGGTTGATTTACTGACTAAATCATTACTGGTACCACGTAACTTTGACGTATACTATTCTGCTCTCCTCAGCGACTAGGAAACCGAAAGCGGAGAAGCGGTTTTTGCTCGGCCCCTGCGGTCTGCTCCGCTTCTAGGAAAACAATAGGCCTACCATTAAATTACCTAAGCCCAAAGGAGAGTGGACTCCGCTCTCCCCAAACCGCTCTCGCGCCTAGGAAAACCCAGATTAAAGAACCCTTTCTTCATTAGAAAATTGTTTAAGTATTACTGTATGTTATTTTATTTCAAAATATAGTAGGTGTAAGCTTTGTTTAGTGGGCACAAAATTGATTTTTTGCAAAACTCACTGTTCAGACATTCCATCCCCATGTTAAAATTGTAGCCAGGTTTTTAATAAAATTTGGCCTACAGATTTCGCTGATCTAAATTAATGATTTCAGCCAATTACATGATGGTTTTTACCAAGTCAAACTGATGGAATGACTTATTATGAGCTATAGCAACTGTTGTGACCCAGCAACTATGTCAGTAACACAAAATAAGGTACAAAATAGAGTTTTAGACACTAGCGCAATCTGTGACTGGCTCACATAACTACATTCTTTTTTAGTAAAAAATTGGTGACAGCTGATCCATATATATGGGATGTCTTCTATTACTATTTAACCTTTCGCTTCAGTATTTTACAACATCCAATTGCAAAGATGCAGATTGTTTGCTGGATGACAGTGTGTTAATGCCTTACTCGTTTTATAGAAAAATATCAAATATATCACCATTTGAAGGTACTTATTAAGTACTTCAGTTGTTGCACTTGATGCGGAATTCAGGCCACACAAATTTTGTTTAAAGACTATACTTTTCTTACCATCCATCTGACCAGTGGTATGGTCCTTGATAGGCCTACCTCTGTTTCTAGGGAAAGCTCTGGTACCGAAAACTGACATTAAAATGTACTGCTGACTGTTACCTGGTCTCAAGGAGTGTGCTGGCGTGGTGATGTGGTTCTCGCTGTAAGGTGGAGGGGGAGACTCAGGCAAGGGGGTGACTTGACAGCTGCGGTTGACAGAGGTGGTGGGAAGGAGAGGGGTGGAGGCTGCAGGAACAGTCACATCCATGTGTTGATTCATAGAAACTGCGGCCGGCGACTCCCCTCTACTATGTACAAGTAATTTACAAATTAATTGGTAAACTATTGAGAATTTTTTGAAAAGGAACTGAGTTCAATTTTACTTTAACCTACTCTTTGAAGACGTTCTCTATTGGATTGGAACGAAATATCAGTGTTAGGTTTTGTGACCTTTTATTGTATATCTATTAGCCCATGAAATCTAATTTTCTCTCTCAGGTATGGTTGAACTCCTATACATTTAAAAAAAGTTCCAAACCAGCCATTTGGCTTTCCCCTCAAATATAATCTCAATAAATTATTGACTAAATGATCTGTCTCAATGTTGGTTACTTGTTGTACTATATCCTTCAAACTTCATATATGTGACATCTATAGTTATGCAAGATTTAACTTAATTTTTTCCAAACACCTCACCGGTGTTGAAGATTGGCTGTGAAGGAAATTGCCCTCCACTCACTTTGAGTGGGATATATCAATATACTAGGTGTTAGGTGTACACAGATGCAGTTGTCTGCTTGCAATATTTAGTGTAGCGAGGCTAGCATATAATCCAATACTTTTCCAAAGTCAATGCTACATTTGGTTAACGTAAATAAGATGTTTCCTTACAGTATCTAAAATCAATGGTATCTTTGGTTCACATACCTAAATGAAATGTCTATTTGCAGTATCCAAATTCAATAGTGCGTCTGGTTCACGTAAATGGAATGTCTACTTGCAGTATCCAAAGTTAATGGTATATTTGCTTTGCATAAATGGAATGGCTAGCATCTACAATCATTGGTGCATTAGCATGATTCCGGTGACCCTAATTAGTTATTCATTTTGAAGCAAATTATGCTCAACGGAACGAATCCGATTGTTCTTCCCCTTTGTTCTGTATTTGTAATGTGCTAGTTTAGATGATTCGTTGACTAGCTAGCAATGTTGTTAATCTTTTGTTTACGTTATTATTGTTATCTTGCAAATAATGTCATAGTGACAAATAATCCAAAAGGCCCAAGTTCAATTTCTAAAAATTTAAATTGACATAGGGAAAAGCCCTTTAATTCGATTTGTACCTGTTATGTATAAATAAATAAGTCATATGTGTTATTATAACATCTGTCAGATGACTATTCATACTATGTTTCTGTTTATTTTTTTAGCTTAATCTGAATTGTAAGTTGAATGAATATCCAGTTTTATTAATTATGTTTCGATTTACTAAACTGGCAACAGGGATAATTGGATAATGGATCTCAATAAGCCTGATTTTTTTTACCAACACACAAATCCTGCATGTGTAGCACAGCGTTGGGGTACATGGATTAAACAATTTGAGAGGTATGCTTTAGCTGCAGACATTACCAATAGCTATATCCACACTTGTGCGCTTTCAATTTCAACGTGCCTTTCAGCTTTAAATTTAACATTCAATTTAACATGCATTAACAAATGCACGCCCCATGAGGCATGCGTTTTAGCTGTCCACACCTATTGATTTAATATAATCTCAATTAATATAATATTTTTTCTTTTTGTATTAGTCCGTATGTCCCCCGAACATAAATGAGAGCGATAATCTTCCATGAATTCTGAGGTTTCTAAGCTATTAAATATGCTTAAGCAACTACAACACGCATGATGTGTATTTTCTAACATACTGTATGTTAAAAAAAAATACCATATGTTATGTTTAATAAGTTAACTTTGTTTTTGTTTACAATCATTGTTATTTAGGATTCATTTCAGAATACACCTATTTTATTTTACACATCTTTTATTTAATATGCAACAGTTTGGCGACGAGGAAAACCAGTTTTCAATTTTTTTATATTCTATTTATTAAAATTTATTTTTTTATATGATTGACCTAAATAACACTGAAAGTTTGACTGATTTAAAGAAGATTAGAGTAGTAGTGAAGGGTCAGTTGTCTAAGGCTGAAAGATGGCTAGCAAACCTACAAAACATGTCAAAAGAAGTAATCAAAACCAGGATAGCAACAATGAGTATTGGGAAAGATTTAATTCTGTACAACAATTAATAGAAGAGAAAACTGAAGAAGTTGAAATCGAGAAAGAAATAGATTACAGAGTAGAAATGGAGGACAAATATTACAAGGTAATGGATGAGTTACAAAAACGTATGGGACAGCTTGCAGAACTACAAGTGAACATTCAAAATATTGTGCCTAGTACATCAAATTTGTCTCCTCTACAACGTCGATCCACTACTTCTTCAATGATTTCCCACCATATCAGGAAAATGAATCATTCAAGAACTTCATTCGTCGATTTGAGATATTTCTATATCTACATAGCCAAGAAATGGAACCAAAGGATCAAGTGTATACAATGCTACATGCCTTAACGCCACATTTACATCAGAAGCTGCATGATTTGTGCGCTCCTGAAAGTCCTTTGGATAAAACATATGCTGAATTAGTAAGTCTTTTGGCTGATTATGTTGATCCTAAACCTAGTACTTGGGTCTTACAACACAAATTTATGACAAGAACACAAGAATCTGAAGAAACCGTAAAAATATATTCCGTTGAGCTTCAAAAGTTATCTTCAGACTGTGACTTCAACTGTAATAATTGTGGGAAATCAATTGCAAACACATGAACTTACTACGCAAACAGTTTATAAGAGGTATTAGCAATTCAGACATAAGAACAAAATTATTACAAGAAAGATCTGCTGCATCGTTTCAAGATGTAGTGAAACTTGCCTCCATCATGGAATTGGCAAAGAACGAAAGCCATATAGGTACCTAGTAGAAGAAAACATTCATTCAAATGAGAAAATCAACAAGATAACAGGTAAAGAAACAAAACCACCCCATTTTTCTCCTACTTTGGAACAAAAAGTTGAAGTTTCCATTTGAACGCCTCAAAGGTAAATGCTATCGTAAATGCTATCCTTGTGGACCACCTAGACACAGGACACATCAGTGTAAATTTATCAGAGAAATATGTAAGAAATGCTACAAACAAGGGCATATTGCTAGCGTATGTTTAGGCACAAAACAAACAGAAATTCATTGTACCGAAACTGACAATACTATAGACTATCATAAGGAAGATAAACAAGAGGTTTTTAAGATACACAACCAGAGTGCCGGTAATGACAAGTTTATGGTAGTCATTCATATGAGACAGTAAGTGTGAAGAAGGTTTCCAAAACATAAAGAAAAGAATAACAAGTGACAGAGTTCTTTGTCACTTTAAACCAGACCTGCCATTGATCCTTGCAACTGACGCTTCACCAGTGGGACTTGGAGCAGTGATATCACATCGTTTCCCAGATGGAAGTGAAAAACCTATAGCTTTTGCTTCAATATCATTGACCAATGCTGAAAAACATTACAGCCAAATCGATAAAGAAGCCACAGGTATATTTACTGGTGGTTGAAGAAATTTTTTTCTTATTGCTACGGACGTCATTTTACACTCATCACGGACCATAAACCATTAGTGTCAATCTTCAATCCCAACAAGAGCCTATCGTCAATGTCAGCTACGCGACTATTCAACTACTCCCATTTTTTATCAGGATTTAACTACACAATTGAATTCAAGGGAACTGGTGACCATGGCAATGCAGATTTCCTCTCAAGATTTCCCGTGGAAGATTCAAAATTCACAAGTATTGACCAGTTTGGACATTTTCAAACAAACCAATTGAACACAATAACTTTCAATCCCAAAGAACTGGCCGAAGAAACTAAGAAGGACGCATATCTAAAACAAATTGTGGAGGCTCTTGAGGAGGGTCAATCATTAGAGCCATTGGGATTTCACGATAATTAAGTTACATTACATGAAGGATGCCTCTTCAAAGGGTGGAAAGTAATCATCCCAAATTCTCTCAAGAAAAAACTTCTCAATGAACTACACTACGGGCACATTGGTAGGCTATAGTAAATACCCCCGCCGCAGCAAACTTGCAGACTAAGCGAATTTCCATTTGCCTGATTGGATTTACACTAAAATGTCTCCTACAGGGTAAAAGTGTTTTTTTTTTATGTAAAAAGTTAATAGTTAGTAAGAAATAAAAACATTTTCCAAATTTGGGCAAAATATGTTAATAAACAAGCAAACTACAACAGTTTACTTATTCTCCATAAGAATAACATGGGAATTTAAATTTGCAATTTTTTGAAATTTTCTCCGTAACCATTAGGTGCATTATAACGCTTCAAGATACTAAATTATTTGTTTTTTTAAGCTCTACAAAATAGTTTGGGTAGAAATTGCAAAATTTTATGTTTTTTGGGTCAAAAATGGGAAAAACCCATTTTTACCCCATAAAACCCCCCATAAACCCCCGTTCCCATGGTCCGATTATGCTGGTTCGCGAACTCGTTCGAATAAACGTAGGTTTACACGTTTGTACCAAATTTCATCAAAATCGGATCATTTTTCCTCGAGTTATCGCGCTAACGGACAGGTATATATATATACATATTATATATATAAATATTATTTTCTTGCATATTTAGGGCTACTAATATAATAAAATCAAAAACATATTTAACAAAGTACCCTTTTAGTAATTATTTTGTTTTAAAATTAATAAAAATAAAATAATTATTAAAAGGGTACTTTGTTAAATATGTTTTTGATTTTTAATATATAAATATACTAGCTGTACCCGCGGGCTTTGCCCCGTTTAACTTCTTAATTTTCAAGATGAGCTCGTTCGCATGGCTCAATCACGTCCTGGTTGAAGTGCGTTCGCTACGCTCACTCACCTTTAAGTTGGAGCTCGTTCGCTGCACTCACTTGCCTTCAGGTTAGCTCGTTCGCTACGCTAACTCGCCTCCAGGTTGAAGTTCGTTCGCTACGCTCACTCACCTTTTGGTTGCAAATTAGCTGTTGTTATAAATTTAAAAAAATAATAATAGTGCTGCACCCTGTTGGCCATCCTTGTAACTTTAAAGCTATTGAACATCATAGAACAGAACCAACTTGTTTAATTGAAACAGCTAATAACATTCTTTAATTCCCTTTAAATATGAAAAATCATAAGGTTAACATGGGAAACTCCAGAGCCACTGGGTGGAGCCCGAGAGTCCGATCAGAATAAAAACAACTTAGTTTTCCTATTTAATGCCTAAAGAATCGATGTACCAAATTTCAGCCTCCTAGGTAAATGGGAAGTGGGAGAATTAGTGATGAGTGAGTGAGTGAGTGAGTGTGTCAGTAAGGGCCTTGCCTTTTATATATTTAGATATAAATTTATATATATGTATATATATATATATATATGAATTTGAACAGATGGTGTTTTTGGCCTCTAGGGACCTCAAAACGAAAAAAAAAATCGGTCCCGGGTCCAGGTCTCACCATGAGTACTGAGTGAAAATTTAAAAACGTACGTTTTCAGGAAAAGCACTTTGCAAATTTTTTCCCCTTTTTTCAAAACTTTTTAAAACGTTTTTATTAGGTCGCTTTCTTGTCCGCTACAAATTTTGCAACTGATTTTATACTAACTTCCCTATGAGCTAGGGACTTGAAACTTGAAACATATCTCACAAATGGAAGACAATGCAATATTATACAATTTAATTTTCATATTTCCCTTGGGCTACGCCCCATCGGCTTGTTTTTATTAAATCGATTTCTTGCAAATTTTGATACTTCCCGATGAGCTAGAGACTTGAAATTTGAAACATAGCTCACAAATGGATGACATTGCAATATTATATAATTTAACTTTCATATTTCCTTTCGGGC